ATTTAATTGTCGGAAATGAATAGATTCGTTTTCGATAATTATTGATGAAGTGAAGATCGACATGATTGACTATTATAATTGATTGATTGTAATTTACATAATTGAAATTAGAAGCAAAAACGTTGAGAATGACTCGATAGAAATGTTCACGCACCATTATTGTGATGTAAATGGAGTGTTTTGATTGTGCGGATTTTTTTCTGTGTAAACCACCTTGACTGATGAGCATAATCTCAGTCTATCGACGACAATTCCAAGAGTTCGTTAGTGTCTAGTTCTCGTTGAAGCAATGGATATGTCACTTTGCGTTAACGTTAATCTGATTATCACGTAATAATACGAAACGTCGATTACCCGGAGCGCGTGACTAAATGTCTTTTCATTATTTAAGAGGAAACGCGACAGACAATTGTGGGAAATCGCACAAATTGAAGCTCGTTAACAAATGTAGCTCGCTAAACTGTTGAAAGTATACATGCTTTTGTAGTTGAAATAATCCATAATTTATATTAATATAATAATATAAACTTTTCAAATTGTCAATTTTATATTATTATATTAATATAAAATTGACAATTTGAAAAGTTTAAATTTAAATTTGAGCAGTTGATATAAAATGGAAGCGAACTTTATATTGAAAGAGTTCTGATCCTTGCGAGCCTGACTATCGAACTTTAATAGTATTTGAGCATTTTTAGAACGGCCAACGTATTCAGTGCTCTAAAAATACTAGAGCCAGTCATGAGATACTTTTTCCATTTTTCTTTTCTTTCACAACTCCGTCGGTTCCTTAGCAGCTTCAGTTTCAACATATTTAGCGCGATTTAAACACTGTACTTGGAATATTTCTGATCTAAACTATTTAAATAAAAGACATTTAGACCCTGCCAATGATTCTTGTGCGTTAGATAATACTTTCATTCGCTTTGCCAAGTCATCTAAACTAAATTGTATGAATTTAAAGTAATAAATTATCGTGTCTTCCATGTTAGATCAAGTATTTATATACGTATGTAATACTGTACATATTGCGTAGGATTTGTTCATTTTGAAGTAGGTTTATTCGAATCATTCTTATAATTCGTTTTTATTCTATTGAATTCTTGAACTAACAAGCGGATAGAAAATGTTGTAACGTATAGTTACATTATTTACTTATTTTTTATAGTTACTTTACTTACTTACCTTAGCTGAAGAATGTCAAGTCGCGAATTGCTGTATAATTCAATAAGTTTTATCGATTCAATGGCGACGTCAGCTGTTTTTGGGTCATTCACCAGCGTTGCTTAAAGTGGATATACGTGTCTGGTACACGCAATATTCCGGAAATTTGCACGTATATATACGTATGCTCGAACGAAAACTTTTTGTTCTAAAAGTCGTGTACGTAAAGCTTTCTCATATTGCGTGTCATAAAATTATCACTGCTCATGTTTATTCATCTTGATCGTAGCCAATTACGTCAACTCATTTATTCAAGGTTCGATGTAAATTTCGAAGCCTGGAAATGTAGAAGTTATACGTAATTACTGCACTGCGGAATGTTTAATATCGATTGTAATTAAACATTTTGTATACAGGTATTATACGACTGTGTCAAGGCACGAAGAGAGGTTGAATTACATTGGAGGGCATCAAATTGCAAGCACATAGTCCAAGTGAAAGATGTTTATGAGAATACGTACAGTGGAAACAAATGTTTGCTGGTTGTTATGGAATGGTGAGTCTTCAAGAATTTGTTGTTAAGAAATTCTATTCTATCAATGATAGGGGGTAAGACACGTGTTTAATAAATTTGTAGCATGGAGGGAGGTGAATTGTTTGAGAGAATACAAGATAGGCAAGACGGTGCTTTCACAGAGAGAGGTAAATTGCCATTTGTTACTATAATTTTAAAGCAACAATTATGAAAAACACTTGAATTATTTTATTTGTTTATAGAAGCTGCACAAATAATGTATGAAATTTGTGTTGCTGTGAAACACCTGCATGACATGAATATTGCACATAGGGATCTCAAACCAGAAAATCTATTGTATTCCAAACCTGGTAGGTAAACGCATCAGTTATAAAAATATAAAATATAACACTTAACACTTGCAAATTTAAGATAAGCATTTTTTTCTTCTTATTTTTAGACAGTACTGGGATATTGAAGTTGACTGATTTTGGTTTTGCGAAAGAAACGCATTCGAAAGACATGTTACAAACGCCGTGTTACACACCATACTACGTTGGTAAGTTATACTCAAATTTGATCATGAATTAAAATTTTATAAATTTCATCAGTGTTGTAACAAATTTTTCTGGCGTTTGCAGCTCCTGAAGTTTTGGGACCAGAAAAGTATGATAAAAGCTGTGATATTTGGTCACTCGGAGTTATAATGTATATATTGTATGTAACTGTTATTTTCAAATATTATTGCGAACAATCATGTTTTTATAATACGTTAATACTTTTTAAAATTTCAGATTGTGTGGTTTTCCGCCCTTTTATAGCAACCATGGTTTAGCAATTTCTCCAGGGATGAAAAAGAGAATTCGATTAGGCCAATACGATTTTCCAGCCCCCGAGTGGTCTAACGTGAGCACGGAAGCAAAAAATTTAATCAAGGGTATGTTGTGTACAGATCCAGCTCAAAGATTGCAGATTGACGAAGTTATGCGCAACAAGTGGATCGCTGTAAGAACTCGGTTTTAATTTTATCGATACCTACTATTATAATTATGGATAAATCTGTCTATATCGGTCTTCGTTTCTCACACAGCAATACACGGAAGTACCTCCTACACCTTTGCATACCGGACGCGTTCTCCGAGAAGGTGAAGAACTCTGGCCGGAAGTTCAAGAAGAGATGACACGGTCCTTAGCCACAATGCGCGTAGACTACGATACAGCTAATTTGAAACAATTGGATCACACGAACAATGCGTTGTTAAACAAGCGCAGACGAGCGAAACAGACGAACGCCGTACCGCCTACCGCCAATCCTACGCCGGCGTCCTAGGGAGCGATGATAAGAGCCAGGCAACACTGGCGTGTTTTTCTACGCAGGTGCATAAGGTACAGTGTAATAACCATGAGGATCGTTTTTTGATATGATGTAAAATATGTACGAAAAAGAGAGAACAAGGTCGAGAAAAGAGTTACGCACGTAGACTGAAATGTTATGCACAGAATCCAAGTTCCGAATTAAAAGATCATGACTCTTTTTCTAAGATACCAGCTACGACTGTTGAGTTAAAACTTGGAGGTATCGCTATTTACGGTGCGTTTTTCACTTTTCTTAGTAAAAGTGATAGCACTTTAAACACAAGATGATGCAAGAATAAGTAAGAATTAGATACGAGTAATAAATAATGATGTGTATTGCAACTTATATTTATTGATAAAACGTTATTGAAACGAGAACGTTTTGTCATTAGCAAACGAGTAGTAAATTCATATTGAAAAGAAATAAACATATGAAAAATATTTTTCAATCTTGAATAAAATATTAGACTTCATAATGAAGATTGTTATAAACAGATACATCACTGAGCAGCTATAATAGTTTCTTTACCGCCTATTCACTTGGACAAGTGACATATTCACTTGGTTTGCAAAGTTTAAAAATGTTAATGTATACAGCTATATTTTTAAATTACATAGTAATTTTATTTATCGCCGTTGACGCATACAAAATTCTTTTATTATACAAGTCTCACTAATATGTTCATTAACTTTTATCTTTGTACCGTAACAAATCATACAGAACATAAAAATAATGTTCATTTGAAATATAGTGAAAGAATGTGTAATCTATTTTTAAGTGATATTTTGACTGAGGCTGAATACGTCTTAAGAATCTTTGTAATTGTTGCAAGGTGCTGATTGCTGATATACGTTGCTTTGTTTCCTAGGTACTAAATGAATACCGTCATCTTCTAAAGCGAATGAAACTTATAATAAACAGAGAACATGATACACTATACGAACTAAATGTAATAATTATATTTTTTTAGATAGATTATAAAATAAAAAGGTGAAATGAATTTAGGTAAAAAGAAATGCCTTAATCAATGTGAGGTCAATTTTTAGTTTAGCGTAAGTTCGACTAGCGTAATTATTACGCATTTTAATTAGATTCAGATTTAAACATTTAAATCCAGAGGTGATCAAATCTCATGAATATATCAATGTTTCATCTGAGACGACTGATATGTTGCGAATGTAAATAGTATATTCACAAACTATTTTTAATAAGATAACATATACACACTTGTAACTGAGGTCATGATTATTCATATTACTAGTAATTTCCTATAATGCTTAATAGTCAGAAATAGAATTGTGACTGACGAGTATCGAAAAACTAAATTAAATGATTAATCTTAATTATTTCTACGGATTCACTTACTCGAAATGATTTGTTCGTCAATTAGTTCTGTTTCAACAAAATAGGAGTATGTGGAAACAATCTTATTTCTATCAGAGGCATCATGTGATAGTTCAGCTCTTACTTTACCTTTAATGAGAATAAAAACGCGAATAACTGTTAATTCTAGGCAAAAGTTTAGATGAGGAAATGTAGTAGATTAAAATAAACTATCTAATTTGTCGTACCACAAAAAAACTGTTACATTGTACTTGATAGTATTGAAGTACAATTTAGGATTATTAGAAAGTAAACAAAAGATGAATAAATGTGTTTACTTTTAATTCGAGTTGAACTACAGTATTAAAAGATCCTTTGTAATTGATTTACTCTATTGATTTGCACTGCATTTATAAAACTTGACAATAAATATACAATCTATCTTCAATTCATGCAGAATCAGGTAATTATTTAATTGAAACTATTCATTAATTATATTTTACTGAACGGGTTATTCTTTCATGAATGGGATTATTGTAAAAATTCACTAAATTACAATTAAAAATAATTAAAAAAATATACATAGTACTAGTAACAGTATAAACGTAGTTTAGTTATTATTATTTTCTTATGTCCTACGAAATTTTTGGTATTTTAGAATATATAAATCTAAGTACTCTTTACACAAGATATCAGGTTAATATTTGCTGTACTTCAAGATTCAAGTTTAGTCTTTGAGTTATTATCGAAATTCTTTGTCCGTTTAAAAATAATTGTTGGAAAAATTACAATGACACTATTTCATACAATGATTAAATGTCAAGATTCATTTTTTAAGTATATAAATGTGTATTTACATGTAAAATATAAATAACTTACTTATCTATAACTAAAATAAATCTTACAAACATTTATGACATCTAATCAATTAATTACGCTACCGTATTTCGTACATTATTCAGTAAACATCAGTGCAAGCCATGATTTGATAAGCAAGCTTCTTGTAGCGGTAAAAATATAGCAATTGTAGTTTACCTCCATCTCTGAATAATGTAAGTCTAAAGAATTTCACATGCTAGTTAAAATTTGGACGATGAACAATCTATAAATAAGTACTTTACAAATGTTTTATATTAATATATCACATATTATGAAGAATATAATAAACTTCTTCGTTTACAGTAACTTCCATGTCTATTAAAATATTATGTAGCACGATTACTATAGTATCCAGAAAACATGATAAAAATTTTGCTTGCGACCTTCCAATAGGTGAACTTTTTTGTTAATGAATTTATTTGTTCCTTTCATCCGTATTTATTAAGTATCATCAATAATGACCCCACGGTTATAAATGAAAGCGGGGTGTTTAAATGTAAAGAGTATTTGTTTGGTTTTTTTTTGCAAAAAGAATATAGTATGCATATCATGAACCAGCATACTCGTTAAAACGAATTGAATAGTGTAAGTAGATTAAGTTTCATATTTTATGATATTTAAAAACTAATATACTATTTTTACTTGTGTTTATTGTTTATTTAAAAGCATTTAATTTTTAATGTAACTTACAAAACCAAACACTGTATATTCACCTTCTTTCTATAATGCTCACTCATTGTATACAATGTACAGGAAGATATTTAAAAAAAACATTGACACGTGCATTCGCACTGTAAATTGCAACAAGCTACATTTCAACCTAATAACGTTAAACGTCTGATTCACATGATTTCCGCGATTAAATAAATTCGAAAGTTGTTCTTACAAGTATAAATTCATATCAGCAATATAAAAATAAAATTATGCTAAATTAAAATATTATATTTGAAGTATTATCATTGTTTAAATTTGCTAAGAATTATTGGAATGCAAAGGAATGACAAACTTCGGTCCAAAAGGAGACCTGTACGTTATACCAACGTCTGCATATACTTTGTTTGGCAGTGCAAGATTACATAAATATAATCTGCCATTGTCAACACTATGGGCCAATGGTAATCCTCCAAGTAGACTAAATTTGCTAAGTATACCAGGTGTTCCAGTAGCCGGCGGTTCGATAGCTAAAATAGTCGCTCTGTTACTGTTCGCCCACCTCGCTACAGGCGTAATCATTCTCGGCGAATTCTCGTCGCAGAGTGCAACAAGTACCAAATCCGCTACTGTTGGTAGATTCTTTACTTTAGTCTCTACTTTGTTTCCAGTTAATTTATATAAAGATAACTCTTGCAAGAGGAAAACATCTTCCGAATTTTCTACAAATACTATTGTCTTAACCCCATGACTAGATAATTGCCTAGCACAATTAACGCCCGCAGCACCGGAACGATGAGCTCCGCAGAGTGCGACAACCGTTGGCCATTGATGTGCATTGTTTGGATTAAGTCGACGACTTCCTCCTAGTAGTTGCAGTATTATTTCTGCACCAGCACGACCGAGAAGTTCTACCTGATGATTGAAATAACTTGAAATTCAATTTAAGGGGTACATGCTTCTTCGAGTGTCTACATGATAGTTTTTAACTCTACGTACTCTGCGTTCCCAACTGATACCAAACCGATCGGCTGCTCCTATTAATTGACGATGAAGATTGAGAGTAATGCTAGGAATTACTAAACCGTTATCTGTTACGTATTCTTTTTCGCCCGCGCTAGGTACTATTATTTGTCTAAAAACTGTAGGTTCAGCGACAATAACATTTTCATCATGCCTATATCGTCCACTGGTACCTCTGTTATTCTCCGATTGTCTGACTATATCAGGTTTCAGAGAATTTATTTCCTGCCATACAGCCTGCAAGAAGTATTCATTTTTTAATAATATTATAACGAAAGTAACTTTTTTTTTTAAATAAATGTTCGAAGAATAAACAAACCTCTTTGTCAAATAAAGCCAAATTCTTTTCGAAGTCAAAATCTTGACTCAAGGACTGATCAATTGGAGTACCGAATGTGTGTTCATCTCGTTCCAAAGCTCGTTGCCTATGACTTAATCTCTTTTGCATTGGTTTATTAACAGATTCTACTGTAAAAATATATTAACCATCATATATTTTCATAATTTATTTGATTCCTAACAGAAAAGAAAATGGTTCCATTACTATACCTAATGGAATCTTCCCGTTTGCAGATTGTTCTATGATAAACTGAGAATTCGCGTCTGCTTTTTTGAAATTAGACTGAAGTTGTGAAGATGTGGACTGAACAGAAGATGAAACACTTTCTGAAAAAGACCTGCCAGCTCGTTTGGCAATAGGTCTTTTCACAGTTACCTTATTTTGTGCTTGGTTGTTATCATTGACAATAGATCCTGGATCATTAATTGCTATAAATTCTACGTCCAATATATCCTTTGTACTAAAACAATTAAATGAGGTATTATTTATACGTGTGATTTATATCGATAGAATATAAATAGTACCTTAACACTACAGGTGAAGTATGTGGCACTCCATTACAAAAAGCTCTTGAAAGTGTAACACTATCTTTATTCAAATCAACTATCTGCCCTTGATAAGTTCCAATTTCTTCAATGCACTTTACAGAAACTGTACAACCCACGTACTGCTCAGACATTCTGATTATACACCTATGGATAACAAACTTATTAATAATAAAAATATTCATTAAGGTGATTCATTATAAAGCAGATGATTATTTTAGATAAACAGTCGTTTTAAGAACATTTACTTTTATTGCAATAGACGATATTTTACGAATCAAAAATCAAACGAAACTAATTGGAAAATCGGAAACTACATATACGAACCTACTTATTGCAGATGAAGTTCGGTCCTATTTTCTCTTTTCCCTTACCAATTTTCTAATTTAAAACCGGATAATTGCTTAGATGTTTGAAAATATGAAAAATGTATTATAACGTGTTCATTAACATAAAACGCCGGACTTATTTTCATTCCTACTCTAACCTCACTGATGGTCTGTAAAGGACTTCACCGCTCTTCAACATGCTACGGCTACACGTAACACGAGAAATAGGCACCATGCTTCGATACGTATTTATTTAAAAAATTGTTTAGTTTGAAGGAAAGTGTCCAGAAGTAAGTACGAAAAAAAAGCTGGCAGTTTAATTGAGAACTATTTTTATAAAAATTCATAAACTAATTTTCTAAATATCGTTCTTTTAATTTATTATAAACGTCGGTCAGTTTATAGACATGGTTGAGCCATCTAGCAAGTAAAATGTAGAACTGACAGTAAATATGCGAAGAAGAAAAATAACTGTTGTTCAGTTTTTTAGGATATTTAAGGGTTGAAAATAAATTTTTATTTTTAGAGAATAATCACAATTCAACTATGCTTAAATATTTTCTGTATTTTCAATTCGTGCTTCACGTTACCCCTTTTTGTAGATTCGTACATCTCCTCTTCTTGTATGCCTGAGAGAGGAGAGAGTCATGTAAGTGACCGGACATTTAGAACAGAATATGGAAGTGAAATGGATTTCAAAGGCATTTCATGATTTTGGTTTATATTGATTTATAATAATTTTCCTTATTTTTAATTATTTACAGGCATTTATCAGAATAAAGTATAAAAATATACAAATTATAGGCAACATTCATAGAATGCAGTTATATATTTACATTTTGTCCAAAGTATTTCTTTGGACAAGAGAATTGATTCCGTTTTTGAATTGTATATAAGTATCTCTTCTCCTTAATTTACAATATACTTGAATCAAAATCTCCACACTGCAGATTATTTACTGTATTGTACTTTATCTTTTCTGTTAATTGTGTACTTCCGAACAGAACTGTGGAAAATTGTTTATAATCGTCCACTAATTGAAATAGTGCCTCATTTATATCTGAACTCCTCAAATCACTCTCTATCGTATTATACATTCTGTTTACATTTTCTTCAGGAATAGGCAACTGTTCCAGAACTGCCAGTTCTTCCTTTAATATTGCGTTTAGGATAGTAGCCTATAATGCCAATACAAAATTAAATTTAATTAAGATTTACATTAAAAATTATATTTGCATACGTACTCTTTTTGCTCTTTGCTGCAAGTTTTCTAGCCTCTGCTTTATGCTCTCAAATTCTGTATCATCATATTGTATCCTTTGACATTTATCCTCTTCCAACAGAACATTTCTCGGAATAGCTATGTACTTATTTACCGTATTCTAAAGAAAATGATAATTCTCCTCTTACATAAAAGCACGTATTGTCTTAGTTGATTTCGAAATTAATATAATTACCTCAATGCTTTTTAAATGTGGCTGTGCTCCTTTACGGAAAGCTTTTGTTAAATGTTTCTGATTCGATCGAAGTATCTCTCTTTTTTCCGAATTTAATTTGAATAACTTTTCAATTGCCGCATGCAACTTCTCAATCATACTCTGAATGCTTTCACCCACCATATTTTCCACTAAAAAATTCAGGAAAATATTTATATAGCTTCTACTATAATAAATTGAGTCGTTTAATTTTTATTTTATTAGAAGCATTAAGAATACACAATATACACGAATAAAATTTTAAAGTTAATAAGATCGGAAGATTTATCTTTTATCTTCATTTATATATTTATTTTCATTCAGTTCATTGAATTATTCGAATAAAACATATTCACGAGGAATTGAAAGAAAATGTAATTGGAATTCGATAAATTGCTGTTGCTTCAAGGACAATTATTTTTATTTGTTTGCTCTTTCGATTCATAGCATGAGAGGAGAAAAGAGAAGCGACGAGAGGAAGAAAAAGAATTGAAGCGTTAGTCTTTGTGATCAACTTCGTCCGTTGGGGCCGGTGAAAGTATTCCAAGCAATGGACGAGTGTGACTCTAGTCATGAATCGAATCTACATGATACTAGAGTGCACCCGTCCAACGATAGGAACATCGGTGTTGCCCCAGAAAAACGAACGAAAAGTCGTAAAATCTGAAAAGCATTCTAATCGAACTGAAATCGGCGGCGCCTTACAAGTAGCATACACGGCTCTTGAATGAAAGCCAAACAGCTGCATTTCATATTCTTCCTGTTTCCGTTTCTGCAACTCCGAAGATGCCATCATGTAAAAATAATTCCGAATACGCGCACGTTAACTCGTCCGATTATCCGATGAAATCACTTAAAAATAGTCGTACTTTTTCGAAGTAATCTCGCTCCCTTCTGATGATCACACCTTGACGTCCGTTGACAAATGAACATGGCGTCTTTCTGCTTGCGTGCGATAGCGTCCTTTGTCCCTTCGCGTTCGCCAAGGCATCCGGATTTCTGTACCAGGATCTCGAACCGTTCCGAAAGCAGCCAATCAGGCGCGACGGTCTGCCAACGGAGATTCGCTGGCTCGGTTACAACAGAAATTTCTCACAATCATTTTTAATTTGAAGCTTCTCGTTTACATTAAAGTAAGCACTGACGTTCGTCTTAAAAATATTCTCTCATTGCAAACAAGTGACGCGTCTATTTTTATATAAAAGTGTCTTATTTCGCTGGATATACATTTTTTCTATGACAGGTTTGAAGTAGCGTCACGAGATGGCTGTGTTAGGTACTTTGCGAAAAGTTTCGCGGTCGGTTACTTCGCAGACTGTATGTACGAAACAAATGATATTGTTTCGTTAAATCTACTTGTTCTTCATAATACAAATCTCTGTATAAAAATTATGAAATAATCTTATACTTGTATTTCCACAAGGAGATAATCGTGTATGGATTCTTTGTTTGTATTATCAGGGGAAAGGAAACGAAACGTGTTAGGTAAGCTTCTGTTCAGACAGCACACATATAAAATTCAAATACTTCTTTACTCGCGTTATCAGAAATTTAAAATTCAAATATTTTTTATCTTCTACTTTAAGGAAGCTCCTGCACGAGCTAGAATACAAAAATAAATGTAGTTCTCGTTGCGTAGAAAAAGTTAATAAGCACTCGTTCCTAAAGTATAAGACAGATAAATGATACATGATAAATGCAAATATTGATTATTTTTATGAAGTATAACCGATACATAAATACGTGTATACTTATAATTATAATTAAACTTATGATGAAATGCCTAGATACATGCTATAGGTATGTATTTTGCTTCTTGAATGACGTCATCGCAACCTTTTGTGAAAGAATGACTCATGGGCTGATAAGTCGTCACATTACGTTATTGCGAACTATTTTTATATTTCATTCTCATGATCTTCGTATTAGTCTTTTCCTAGAATTTCCAAGTTCAGAATATTTCTATTAAGCAGTGCCATTAAGTTCAGTACAATGACAAATTGTAAATATGTGTGGTTCCAAATGATGAATGAGCATCTTTATTTACATCTTATTTTAATCGGAAGTATCGACGTACAGCCTCGAGCACCTTTTTTCATTTGCATAAAGAAAAAAAAGGTATGCAGAGAAGTGAACGCTCTTTGCCATTCGTCTTATGCACAATGACAAAGTGAATGGATGAATCGAGAGAGGCAAGCGCTTGACGAAAGTAATGTGCAAATACATGCTCCTCACGCGCGCAGAGCCTATACTTTATGCGTTCAGTACCCTGTACACATATAAATTCGATATTCGATACGTATTCTTGCTTTTATCCGCCTGTTAGTTTTGATTTACGTGTAGTCGCGATTCCCTATAAAATATCCGTATGCTTCCTGTTCTTTGCATATAATTCTTTCCATCTAAGCTGTTCATTACTATTAGTACAATAAATTCGGAGTGAGAGATCAAAGCATTATAAAATGAACACTAAAGTTAGTATTCTCGTATTCTACAAATAAATATTTATTTGGAATTCATTTATCTTTCTCAATGCAGTGAGCAGAAAATATTCGAATGAACAATTCATAAGGAATGGTATTCTCGTTTCAAGCGAACGGGCAGTAGATGAGGGAAGTAAAGGAAATGATTTCATTAACACGTCTGTACGAATTCGCGCGGCATTGCGCCATTGAATACACGCTCCCTTTCGTATAGGCGCGCGCTTCCACAAAGCCGTCGGTGCACTGACACAATTGAACATCGGTCGCGTGTGGGTGTGAACGTGCAGGAGATGAGGCGCGTGTCGAGTTCATACGGCGATCGACGCGCAACCGGCTTGCGCAGGTCCCCGTAAAAAGCCGGGGGCTCGATTCCGCCGCCGTTCTTCGGATACCACGCGCGTTCGTTCTCTCAGTTCGTATTCGGTATCCACCTCGTATCGGTGGATACGTTCGGTTCTTAATTCGGTTGGAACGACCTTCCTGAATTTGCGGAGCATCGAGACGTGTCCGAGCTGCAGGGAAGAAAAAGTTTCGAAACGACGAACATTGTGCTGATTGTGCCAATTGTTGACAGTGCTTCCGAAACAAAGACGAGACAACATGCTGCCTCTACGATTTCTTGGTCTACTCGTGTGCCTTCTTGCGGCTCAGGGTGAGTTTATTTTTTAATTCTAATTTCCCCGAAATCCTGAGGAATACATCGATCGATCTTGTTTGAATATACAGAAACGTATGACTCGAGTTGATCGGTGCGTCGTCGATGCTTCATTAAATTTATTTACAACCGTTCGTGGGATAGACGTACATTCGACAGTTACTCAAAGATTCGATCAAGTCAATTAAATTTAGATTTAACGTTTGCGGTCAGAGTATGCGCGTAGCGTGGGTGACGATGAGAAGCGTGTTAGGAAACTTTAAAGTCGCAGACTTCGAATCCAGTCGCATGATAATTTCGCATGCATCACGGATAACTAACAGTTACCTCACCGTGCAAGCCGTATAAGCAATTGCAACAATAGTAGTTACCATTGCGGGTTAGCACTGGCGAGCATCGAGTCAGCGTAATCGTTCGCCTGCGGAAGGAACAATTACTGTGTCTTAAAAAAACTTAATTACTCTTCCTCGTGAGCCAGTTTAGCGGCACAAACACACCCTCGGCTCGATAAATTTATTATTAGATGCACTTTCGCTATTGCATCGCTAAGGACATCGAATTATTTCAATATTTGCTCCAATTCACTCAAGCGTACGTTTGCATAATACTTTAATCCAATAATTGAATATAACGCGGCACGCGATGTTGGACAATCACAGTCTAATTTTGTCCATACGTTGCTCGCTGCACTTCAATTTAATGTATCGAAGCGAAATTGGTTGGGGTGAAAGAAGTATTCAATCTGTTATGTCTACGATTACTTTCAATACAATGTAGAATATATTTGCAGTAGGATAATAATCGTGATTACGCGTATTGAAAAAATAGTAGTTTCCACGAATTCCAGCAACAAGTATCCTATTTATAAATCATAGTGCACTGCGATAAGTGTTTAAAATGAATGCTTAGATCAAAGTGTACAAATCTGAAGACCTTTACGATACAATAGAATTATCATGTAGGTACGTTAACCGCGTACGATGTCAGATTGCAAATTTTTCAAGTATTAATAATAGGATGTTTTCTGTTTTACATGTACAATAGAGCGTTGAATCCCAGTGCATGCAACGTCTGACGAGCTCCGAACTTTTTCACTTAATAAGGAGGAGACTCCATGCCGGGGGTAGCAAAATATTGGTATTCGTATCGGTTAACGAACCAACATTCAGAGGAGTTTTTGAACGGTACGCGGGGTCAATCGAGGTACATAAATCGTCGTCTCGATAAATAGCTACGGCGTGTTTCACTCTTTCAAGTGTCTGGGACTTGTAACGTTGAATTATCCCTCGATTCCAGTGCTAGGCTTGGCAGCAACGTTAGTTAATTGTTTCATTAACATTCCCTGTATACACTACATTCCTGTGCATATTCGAGAGCTGCGTTTAACGCTCGATTGGTATGCATTTATTTACGCGTAGTACGCGCGAGAAATCGAGTTTAACCGCCGAGACAGTATAGCTCACTTCGCGATTCCAAAGTACCGAATGCCATTCGTCGAGCAATGAAGTCGAGATTTGTTCAATTGTGAAACATTTACAATTGATTCTAATCATTTCATATATTCACTGTGTTTATTCTTTTAATACATATTCTATTTATTAACTAAAAGAGATTTTATGGTACTCGTTTAAATGAACCTTTGATCATCATTGTCGTAATTAGACATTGCTGTGCATAAGTCTACGAAATCCATCGGCGGGGAGGTCCGTTTCTTACGCGTACTGGTCCAGCTGTTGGCAAATTCCATTGAGAAAAGTATGCGAGCGAAGCACTATATCTCGCGAAGCAGCCTCTCCCGGTTCACAAAGAACCGGTGGCAGTAGTCGGCGGAGAGGCTGCTGTGAATGGTCCGAAAAATAAGATAAACGAAAGTAACATGGGGGGTAAGTGGAAGGGATCGCCAGGTGAACAGAAGTTTTCAGGTAGGAGAATGACCGGGGGCAGATGGTTCGTGGGATGGAGCAGCAGCCCTGTGTCCAGCATGGCACTCACAGATTTTCGGTAACTCGCTCTTTTGGAACGATGCTTCGCCGGCGTCCCGTAGGATGTTCTATTTTTTCCTTAATAATAGGAGCGGCTTCTTCTTATCCTTAATGCTGGGCCAAGACCCAACTCGTTTCGTACGTGACGCATAGGTCCTAACGGAACGCGAACCGCTCTATAGTATACAAGCCTCAAGCTATGCGAACGTACGAGCTATAAAATTTACTATAATAACGTATATATGGCTTACATTATCAGATTAATGAGCAAATTACTGTAATGACGTGTTTCCTCTTTTAGGTTTTTTTATGCAACTTATCGAAGTACTCATACGTGTAGGTACCTCGTGGATTTCCTTTTTCGATGAAATCGTAGCTCAATAATCTTCGAGATAAGCCGCGATAATGTCTGGTACATAGTATTAAAGCGTCGTAGTTTTATGTGTACAAGCTTGTCGGGAAATCGGGTAGCGACAGTGTTTAAGATTTTCCCTTTTATCGCGAGTCAGGAATCGGAGCAGCAACAGTTGGGAATCCAATAAACGCGTGCAGTGAAGCACGCGTACACGTAGCGGCGATCGTGTTGGATAGTGACCAACATTATCGCGAAGAATAGAGTATCAGTACAGTCCAGTAGCTTTTGCCGCGGTAAAATTAGTCATCCGTATAGTTTGTGTTTATGCGTGACCGTGTGCTAATACGCTGATTATAATGCAGCCGTTCTACATATTTCTTGCTCGTTCCTACCATATTACTCGAACCAGTTTTTTCGTCTTTTTATACTTGGTGAATGCTTAGAACAGGCAAAAAGAGAACATTTGTTTCCGCGCTAGCTATAAAATATATACGTATGTATCGTACGGTAGTCGCGTTGCGCAATCTTCAAGTCGCTGCAAGGACCATCGCCCCTCTCAATTCCTTTCTTCTTAGCGTGACAGAATCGAAAGCGTAGAATTAATGCAAATCTTATGAAGTGACGCGATACGACTACCCGATGAAGTCTCTCTGTTCTTCCTGATTCCGACGAGCCTGTTTCGTAATTCTTAAATTCCAGCCCGTGTACCCGGCTAGGAAAATAATTTCGTAATTCGGTGAGAGAACCGGAGTTAGAGTTTATTCGTTTAGAAACGTGACTGCGTAGGGCAAGAATGTTCAAGTCTTCCGTTGTGTATGCACACGGGTCAAAACGAAATACGATGTTATATATAATATATCGAACGATCGTGTAAATTCCGTAAATCGTACAATGCATAAATAGTAGAGACGACTTAATCGCGTGGTTTAAATACGCGATCATCGGAAATTAACGAGGTCGGTAACGTGTGTGTGTAAGTAGCACACGCACACTTATCAAAGATTACGTCACGTACATCCCGGTTTAGCCGAGTAATTAACTAATTGAGCCTCATTGGGCCGATGGGGTGGGAGAGAGGTGTCACGCAGAGGAGAGGTCAACCCGCATGAGAAAACAGTTTTCGGCCGACCACCTTTTGAGGAAACTATCCACCGGAGTTTCTCAGAATTTCCCAAAGAAAACTCGGCTAGGAAGACGCAGAAGAAATTGTATTAATCGGTATACCTGCATCGCCCACTCGCAACAGAGAGAAACGCGATACCTTGACGCCAGATTGTCGTACCTTTTTCCACGGAAAAAGGTTCCGTGATTTCAGCTGGTAGATCGAAACGCGGACACGTTCCGAGCGAGGAATTTTTTTTACCTACAACGCGCCCCCACGCGAACTTGGCTCTATCTTTTCATCAAACATGTCTTCTTTAATGCATCCTTCGGTTGTTAGAGTTTTCCGGTACGATGATCAGACACAGATATTGAATCGTGAATGCCAGAATTACGTATTCAAGGTCTCGTTGTTTTTAATGGTTGAAATTAAATCTGTTATATATTCGACGTTGCGCAACAAAATCATCGGAAACGGCAGACTTCCGTATAAGGCATCGCCATGGTTTCCCCAGCTCGTGGACAGAGTCACGATAACGCCATTCTTCTGTTACATATTTACAGAAGAATCTTATCTGACAGCTCGTTAAACGCGCTCTTATATGCGTCGAGGTTCAGCGGCAAAATTAGCGAATGATTAATCGGTGATTACTGCTTTGAGACGAAGATACTCTGTATTCCGAAAGAGGAAGTGATGTCTATAGTGCAACGATATTATTAAAAGACAGCTTGAAGGCAAGGCAAATTATGCAACGCTGACGGCTACTGCATTAAAGAGTATTCCTGTTTCGACACCAGATAACTAGAGCCTCGTTTTATTGGTTGTCCTTGACTTACTGTTACTCGAAAACAGAAACCAGATAATCGATCTTACGACATTTACGCTATTGTCGTGCATTGAATTTTTTCTTAACATGTTTTTTCCACGAAAGTGTCTTTTCTCTTTTCGGTTATCGCGAACTGTTCAATTTCCATTGTAATCGCTGCAACCGAGAACCGACAATGAATCACTGGTCGTGTAAATTCCGTAGAAACGTGGTTATTTGAAACGTTCCACGTTGACGGATGTCGATGATCTCGCGGTTATTTCCGAACAGAAGCGTAGCATAGCTCAAGACACGATTTCGGTGTTCCCAATTCGAATTTAGGCCGTGCGCTGGTGGATCCGTAGGTCTCGTAATTCTTCGGCTCGATCCGAGATCTAGAAGCAGGGCCTTCTTGATCCTTGCTCGCTTTATTTATCGTCGAATACTTCGTCTACGCTCGTACTGCCTCGCACATACGAACTTGCATTCAGAATCTCCGTCTGTAGTGAAATTATATTTAATACTGTTAAAATGTCATACGCACACATTTGATCTAATTAACAAAATCATATTCTAACAGTATTCCGTTTCGAGTTAAAAGCTTGTTTTCTGTCTGACGACGATTTCAATTATTACCAGACCACTTGTACATGAAATTTCATGATAACATGAATCGGGGGAAATTAACAAAGGCCTTTTGAGGCAGGTTGCGAGGAAACAAAGGCGAGCGCACACAGGCAATCGTATTTATTA